GAAGGTAAGTTCTTGCTTTCCCATTTCACTGTCTCTCCCACTACCTGAACAGAAGGCAGACGCTTTCTCTGGTGCCCACCCCCTTCCAGGGTAAAACCACAGCCCTGCCTTGTGGCTGGGATTGTTGTGTTCAGCGTATCATCATGGTGCCCCCAGTGCATGTAACATTCCTTACATGCACCTTACACATCACACAACTAGCTAAGTGCACTATTGTACCACCAAGATTTCTTTTTCCCCTTTCTCTGAAGTGTGGAGAACTGGTCAATGCAGTGTATTAGAAAGACCAAGGACTTGCTCAAGTGTGACACATGCCCCTGACTAGTCTGTTCTGTTCAGTGCATAATGCTTCTGGGTAGTGAAATTGCACAGAGCAATTGTCAGTGACTGATGATACCCAGCAGACCCCATGGAAATTTGTTTGTCTCCCCCCTTGAACAGATGCTGAGGGTTGAGCTGGGAAGAGGGGTGGGGAAGGAGGAGCCTCCAGATGTTCATGTTTGGATGGAATGGAAACTGGGTCTTGTGTTAGAGTTCAGTCCACGTGCCTGAGGGCCGGGCACTCTTCTGTTCCCTTCTGAGGGGAATTATTTTTTCCCCATTTCAGTTTCACTCTTTGTGTGCATGGTCATCCTTTACTTCTGGAGGTCGAACGGGCCATTCCCAAGGCTGCATGTTGTTGCAGGCAGTAGCTCTTTACCATCTGGTACTGGAGTAGAGACAGTTATGGGCTAAGAGCACTGTCTTCCCCTAACTGTTCCAAAGGATAACTGTCTTCCACACGGAAGGGTAGAGCTTGGTTTATTTGCTTGCATTTCCATTTGAAGTCCAAACCTTTCTCCACAGCTGTTAGGCAGAATAGTTCATCTTCTGGTTTTGCACTGTGGACAGTCTTCATTCTCCCCATGCTGGGGGCTGACATGCACACTGCAGGACCAGCAGGTTTGTTCTGTCCTGCTTCTTAGCCCTTTTCCATTTTAATAAAGCTTTGTTTCTAGAGGGCTCACAATACAAGCAGACTGTTGGAAAAAGAGGTGTTTTCAGAGGAGTTGTGTTTATTTTGGGGACTGCTCTACTAAAACCTGCATTCTTGCAGTCCTGCTGTGTTCTTCCCTAATGACACCCAAGTCTTCAGGATTTTTTGACCAAAATGCTGCGTGGAACTGCTGTTCTTGCCCTAGGATATTTATCTTTGAAATGTGCCTGCAAGAGTGAGCTTATGTGCCTTTGCACGTGCCTGCCTCTTGTACAGACATGCATTGAATGCTAATACGGCAAGTGTGTTTGAGTTGTCGCATCAGTTGATATGGAAAACATTACAGTAAAATCCCAGTGGAATAAGAATGGATGATCCCAAATGTTGTGAACTGAGAACCAGCAGATATATGCTTCAAAATCCCAACATGGCAGGGGAGAAGCAACTGGAAAAGCAGCAGATAACAACACATCTACATAGTTTTTTGTCACTTGCCTAGAAAAAAAAGTCTTTCATCTCAGGATTCTTGATTTCCAACAGGCTCTTGGGCAGTGTTACAACTTAGGTCAAAATCTTGCAGAAACGGATGGATGATGTGCACACGGGTTTTGAGGCACAGCTTCCTGGTTAGTTACAAGGAGACCTATGTGTTAGAGACTTCGAGCTCCATAGAAAGCTTGTGGTGTTTGGTTCATTGAGAACGCTGTGTCTTCCTCTGTGAAAAGAGTAAAGCTGGATTTGCTTTCTAGCATTTGAAGTATTCTTCAACTCTTCACAGTATATGTTGTTCCTGATATACATATAATTGAATACTTGTGATAAAGTGGAAGGTAGATTAGAGAGCATTGCGTTCTCTGGACATGGTGAATGGGGTTGCCCTCTGGGAACCTCTTCTCTACTTCTACGTGACACTGGAGACCTGCGATCAAGAGTCTGCATGCAACTTCCTTGCTCCTAAGCATTAGAGCAGTCTTGCGCTGCAGTATGAACCTGGGTGGTGTCCATGAGGGGCATCGCATGCTTTCAACCTGGGCTGAGAGCCCTCAGAAGAGTTGTTTAAGCCTCCCATTTTCCCCAAACAGCATCTATCTTCAGGTGTGGCTTTTCAATCCTCATTTCTGTAAGCTTTAAAATTCAGAAAGAAATTATATATTTCTTAAAACTGGTGTTTTGAGTAACCCTCTTGCTCAATAAGGCAGACTTTTAAAAGTACAGGTCGCTTCCCGCAGTGCTAAGTTTGGACAAGGTAGAGAGCAGGTAGTGGTCTGTGTGTGTTTGTAGTATGTCCTTAGCCCTTCTGATTTAGAATTTCTGTGGCTACATGCTTATGTCCTTCCTTGCACCTACTGTCTACATGTATGGTGCTGCTTCCCTTTACTCATCCCATGGAAATGTAGCCTTTTACTGCTTCCATTTGTTTATTGGAGCAGTGCTGGCACACTTGGCTGCTGTGCAGCAGTCTGTGTGCTGCTCGCTGTCTGGTTGGTGGCCTCGCTGTTGTGACCAGCCTGTTTTTCATGCATTGCTCCTTATGTAGAAAACTTGTAATTTTAGCCCCACTGATTTTCTCATCCTAGATAGTTCTGATGAACAACTTGTGCCAGGGACTGGTGGAATTAAGAGCATCTGGTCTTGCATTACTTGTAGCAAACTATGATTTTCTGCCCATTGCAGCAGTGCAGAGCACAGATACCGTAACTTGAACACCAGACAGATTTTCAGCTTTGTGGTATCCTTTTCACTTCCACTTCCTATATAATAATTTTTATTTTTAACTGTATTTTTAACTGTAGTCTGCTGCTGACCACACACCATGTGGTTAGGCTGTCTCTTGTGTTCCCTCCAGATATGGAGACTCCTGGTTTGTTTGATGGTTGGGGTTTTTTGTTTGTTTTGTTTGTTTGTTTCTTAAAACCTTCTTGGAAATTAATTCCTTAATTTGAGAGAAAATATGTTTCAGTTTCTTCACTGGCTTTCTCTAGTCCATGGTGACTGTGCTCCATGAGAGTGTTGCCACAGATATCCACACATCAGATGAGAATGGAAAGAGTAGTTCTTCCGCAAACTGATGATTACAGTAGTGTAAAAATTAATGGCCTTAAGCTCATTGAGGAAAAAAAAACATGACCAGTTTGTCTTAATTTACTTTCTATTCAAGGTAACTTTCCCATCCTTTTGGTGGTATTCAGAGATATCCTGCATTATTTGACAAATACAGTAGGAATTTCTGTTACATAGTATTAGGCAAGTTTGAGAGGCGCCTATATGTCTTATGCTTTATTCCCAAGAACTCCATGAAAATGTGTGTTGGTGAATATCTGATGCAAGATGCAGCATGTTGTTGCTGATTTAGCATAAATGAGAGAGGAATGATATATTAGTCATATGTGGTTATATGAGCATCTAGTGTGAGTTGTGTTAGGCTGATATGTAAGAAAAAGCCCACAGTTTTTGTTTCTATAGGAATTGGCTTTAATCCTTTGCTGAAGCAAGCCTAACACACTAAAGCAATGGGGATGCATGCATTTTACTTGCATCAGACCATTTTGGAA